ATTCATCATCAAAGAACTGGGGACAAGGGGGGAAAGAGTGGTGTATAGATTAAAAGATTACACCGACAAACCTGTAAAGGGGTCTTTTTACCCAGGGGAGCTCCAAAAGGTACCTGATGACCAACAACGTGTATACAGAATTGAAAAAGTGGTCAGAAAAAGAGGGTGGGGAAAAAATAGAGAGATTCTGGTCAAATGGACAGGCTGGCCAGAGAAATTTAACAGTTAGGTTAAGGAGAGTGAAGTACGCCATCTTTGATATGGCAGGGTTTTATATTACCCTTCCCAGCTACGCATCAGCTGCTGCTTTTCCCCGAAACAAAAGTTCTAATTTTACTATTCAGTCAGTGAGGGCATTGGATCTTCCAGCTTCATGGGAAGTAGGACTAGTAGAAATACAGTACCCACATAGTTGTAACACATTAACTTCGACTGGACATTTTGAAATTCTTACCGAGACAAAGAGGTGGTATTTTTTTTGAAAAGCCGGTACTATGCCAGCATTGAACAGCTGGTAGAAAATATGGACAAGCTTATATCAGACACCAAGAACTGGCTGGAGATGACCCTGCAGTATGATCCAGTGGTTCGAAAAATTAATCTTACAGGAGATGGAACATATGCCATTCTAGTTGGTGAAGAACTTGGACATATATTAGGTTTGTTCCCAGGATTCTGCGCCAAAAAATTTCTCTTTGCTGCAGATGTGACTGGAGGATTCAATACCTTATATGTTTATACAAACATCGTAGAACCCCAGGTAGTAGGTCACTTCTATGTACCACTACTGCATTGCATGCCTGTGGGGGGGGCAAGACAACAATTTCATTATGGTGACCTATGATCAACCACATTACGTTCCAGTCAGCAAGCATTACATCGACACCACCACCGTGGAAATCAAAACCAATCAAAACAAAAATGTCCGCTTTTATCATGGGAAGGTGGTTGTGAAGCTTCATTTTAGGCCTCAGAAAAGCAAAGGATGGTTGTGATCAAGGAGCACGGGAGCCCCCAAGACTATGTGGCCTACTACACAGCACAAGCCGGTCATGGCCTTGCAGACTTCTGAGGAAGCCCTGTCATGTATGGGACAGGTTTAGGGGGGGGTGTTCCATGGACTTTTTCGAAAAGCAATGCCATTTCTGAGGAAAGGAATGGAAATCATTAAACCACATGTGAAATCTGCAGCCAAGAATATTGTCAGAGATGTGGCAGGACAGCTTGTATCCCATGTTGTTGAAGGGGGGCAGGGGGGTTCGGGTATGGTCCTGGCCAGGAAGAATTATGCAGTGGGGCCGCCTATTCCAGTTAAAAAGAGAAAGATTGTGAAAAAAAACCAGCATACAAAGAGAAGACGTGCATGGAAGAGGAAGTGCTATGACAAACGAGACATATTCTAATATAAAATGGCATTTATCCATGAGACTTCAGAGGAGTGCATGAAATCAGAACTGGATCTTTTTCAACTGGCATCTATACAAACCAGTATTAAAAACAGCATGTATGTTGAGATCCCACCTTTATTTGTGCTATCACCCAACACACCCTTGGAATTTTTTATCACAGGACATGGTGAGCATTACACGGATTTAAACAGCACCCTGCTGTATGTGAATTGCAAGATTGTACAGGCTGATGGTACAGATATCAGTGATGGTGCCAGGGTGGCGCTGG